TATATACACACCTATATATATATATACATATGTGCGTCTGTCTGTCTGTCTGTCTGTCTGTCTGTCTGTCTGTCTGTCTGTCTGTCTGTCTGTATGTATGTATGTATGTATGTATGTATGTACATGAACTTTTTGATTTGATCTATCTATTTATCTATTTATTGTACATACATTCCTATACATCCACAAGCCAGCGCTTCTGCACTAGAGATGGCTACGCAAGCATACAAAGAACTGCTTCCCCGGCGGAGTCCTTGGTTTTGATCGGCCGGATCCTCTCACGGGTACCAGTTTTGGGGTCCAGGGTTTAGGATTGAGTCAGTTTTGGGAGTTGAGGGTTTTGAGGCTCTGGGGTTGAGGGTTGTAGATTTAGGATTCGGGGCCTCAATCAGGGTCCCTCCTGGGGGTGCGACAAGCACGGCACTTTGGAGACCCATTCGCAGCATAACGTGTGCATCAGGGTGTGCCCACCGCCCGGCAGAAAGAAGTGCTACAGAGAGCAGGGATTGACAGTCGACAAATCAGACAAGGACACTCAATCTCGCAGGCAGCTATGACAATCGACAGGGATGAGACTTCTAACACTGGTAATGCAAGCATCTGTGCTTACTAATGACTGGGGATTCCGTCAGCTGTATCGCACTACCAATGTTACAATATCATCCGCTTGATTGATGACGAAGCAACGTCTTAACAACAGTGGCAGCATCAAAACAGCATCAATGTGATGGTGCGCTATTTCGGTACCGAAGGGGCTGCCCCTTATACAGTTGCCACGGACCCGTTCACTGCTTGGTCTACGCAGTTCGAAGGGCCAGGATGATGTGCAAGGGGCTGACCCAGAGCCCTGTTCTCGTGTTCCTGTAGCACTGTTACACTGACCAGAAAGACTGGTATCGACACTCATGGCGGTCATAATAATACGTAGCCTCAATAACAAACACTAAGGCCACTAAGGACAGAAGTCATCGCAAGAACCACGAGAACACGAACAACAATAAGTGCAACAACCGAAACAACACCCAGAATGGTGATGGTCACAGCACAAATGCCGCCACAGTAGTGATTCCCAGTTGTCGCAGAATCAAACTTCGTCCTAGGCTCAACACCGCCCTCGCCTCGACTCTGGAACTTTCTTCTTGACGGAGAGGTCGTAGAAGCGCTTCTGAGCGGTCGCTGGTGAGACACCACACCCTCTGGAGAGAAAGGGGAATCATGCAAGAGGTTCCGTGATGCTGCGCTGCCAGGTGCCGCCAGAGCTATCCCACCTCCCCCTCACGCCCACGCCCTGAAGTGACTTAGGGATGAAGATGTTGAACACGATTCCGGGTCGCGGAAAATCGGTGCTGGGATGCTTAGGGCGGCTAAGAAGTATTCGACTGGTGCTGATCCCAAAGAAGCAGCGCTTCGGCTAAACCTCCTGCATCACGCCCTGCGACACTAATCGTGCGCACCAGGGTTCTTGAAGAGGCTTCCATTGCGGCCATCTCAAAGCCCACAAAGCCAACATGGAGCCCAGGCCCGAAATCACTGGCTTCAACACCCGATGAATCCATGGTAATTCTGATCTAATGTCCTAGTCTCTTTTCTCACCAAGCCGCTCCGCTTTCGCTCCGGAGGACACGGAGAACTTCGGTCACCACGTACTTTTGCAGCTGACCACTGAGGTAATAGACCTTGGGAGCTGGACGGAATGACAGGGGAATTACACCTGGACCGTAAACGGAAGGGGAACACCCACCTAAAGGCAGCTCTCACTGCTCTCACTAACTCCTGCAGTGGGGCTCAAGATTTTCTTGGATTTTCTTCGTCTGGGACTGGAACTTCCTTTCGGCAGCATTCCTGTTCGGTTTAGCTAGCCACTGTTTACCTGGCCTCCATAATTCTCCACGTCAACGGGGAGCATCTGCAGCTTTAGTGCTAGAGTAGCAAACAAAAGCCATTCCCAACGGAGACCTCATTGCCAAGGAAACCCCGAACAAAAAAGCCAAACCCTCAAAACCTACTCGCCGAAAATCCCTAAACATGAAAACCCTAAGCCTAAAGAAGAGACGCTCCTCAACATTTGTGCGCCATCCTTGGTCTTGTTTGACTGAGCATCAAGCTTTTTGGCCAGTATGGAACCTCTTCTCCGTCGTGGCGGGTTTTGCAGGCGCCTGTGCCTGGTCATGTTCAAGGGTTTCGACTCTCACATTCACACACAGGCAGGCTGTTCAGAGGTCTAGGGGTTTAGAACCCAGAATTCCGCGCTGCTTGTTTTTCGTCCGCTCTTGCGCGTCACGCTTGCTTGCACCTTGCAACATCGAGCTGACCTGAGTGGCTAAAGCTGTAGCAGCACTGGTGCGACAGCTGCTGCTAACAGTTTGATGATTGCTTCGTGCATGCGCTAACAGTAGCTTGCTTGCTCTGTGTTTGGAAACCATGCTGCAGTGCCGACACAAACTTACCCGGCCCTCAGCGCTAATTTCCAAACCCCAACCCAATTGAACCTCTGGCGCAGCGGCGCCAGCATCGCTCTGTCCGGCGGCTGCAGGGGGCGGTGCGGCATTAGCCTCAGTCACCTCAGTAGCCATGGCAATTCCCAGACCCCTAACAATCCAAAATGCAAGTGAAACGGCTGTTTCCGCTCGCCTCTGCCTGCGCCCTGTCGTGCAGAGCAGCTCGATCCCTCAACTCTTCAACCCTCCTTGCTGCTCGAAACTACACCCACTCCACCTTTGAATTGAAGCCTTTGCCCGAAACCCTAAACCTCCAACTCTAAACATCTCTAAACCTTAAGCCCCAGAACCCCTCGACTACCGGGGAGGAGCTGAGTTGCCGCAGCGTTGGCTTCGACTTTGGCTTTGCCGCTCTTGGAAGGTCTCGGTCTCAGCTTTCTCGGGTCTGCCTGCGCCAACATTTTGGCAAAGTGGATGCAGCAACACGCTTGGTATATATATATAT